TTTTTTTAAATGTGTGCATAACTATTTTTTTAATGAGTATAACTACTTTTTAATGGGTATAACTATTTTTTTTAATGTGTGTAACCAATTTTTAATTGATGTAACTATTTTTTTAATTGGTGTAATTATTTTTTAATGTGTATAACTATTTTTTTAAATGTGTGCATAACTATTTTTTTAATGAGTATAACTACTTTTTAATGGGTATAACTATTTTTTTTAATGTGTGTAACCAATTTTTAATTGATGTAACTATTTTTTTAATTGGTGTAACAATCACTATTTCATACAATTGTTGAGGCATGATAATGANCTATTACATAACAAAAATTTTGCTACCGAGAAAACAAAATATCTGTTAGTAAGAGCACATCTAAAACGCCTCAGTGTATCACAACAGCATTCTACAACAAAACAGCTCAAAATCATAGCATTACAACATCAGTGCATCACAGCAACAATACAGCAGAGTATTCCAGTAGTACTAAAGCAAGACATCAGCTCATCTCTCAGCACCCCACAATCAACCTTTTATCATAAAAAACCATCACTTTTTTGAACCTAGCAACTGGCAGACCAATCTGATCATGCACTAGAGCACTCCTCACAATAGCAGAAAAATCAAAAGTAAAGCCATCCTGATTTTTTATTGCAATCTGGTTTGCTGCCAAAGCCACCAAATCCACTTTGAAGACATACATGTTATACTATTTTTCTCCACTACCATCATCACTAAAAATACACATGTTGTACCATCAAACCCAAAAAGAATGTTTAAAAGACCATTTCCATAAATGAAAATGAATCATTGCATTACATACAACTCTTGATCTAGTTACATCATTTTAGCATTAGAACAATAACCAAAATAAGTAATAGCGGCAACTTTATAGCTTCTTCATTTGCCTCAATACATTGGAGTCGACCGTGAATTCCATCAATCCTTAATTGCTAATGCCATTGTGAGTCGACTAGGAGAGTTGATTATCACTTCTCCACTTGCTCCCCAACTCGACAAAGTCATTCTGTATCAATACAAAACATTAAGGGTTAACAAAGAAATCGACAATGATACAAGAAATTATTGAAAATTCAAAACCTAACAAAACTAAATATTATAGAAATCCTTTAAGAGAGTTAGATTCCCTGTGCAAAGAACATATTGAAAAAAAAAAATCACAACTTGTGAGAGCTACTCATAGTTCATCACAATGAAAAACCAAATTTAAATTTAGATAATGAAAAATTATGTACCCAACAAAGTGCTTCAACAACACTCAAGCACACCCCAACAACCACATCAAACAAAAGAGGTAAGTTACAGTTAACTTTTTGTGCTAAGCAGGTATGAGGTTTTGACTGTTGGAAGTCTTCAATTGAGCCCTAGCGATGGCAAAATTAAAAATTGAGCAGATATGAACCTATAAAGAATTCACTGTGTGGGGTTATAGAAGACCGAATCTTGTTGTCCATTTGTGTAGAAGATTGAATCCAATTGTATATGTGTGTGTATAGAGAGGATGTCGTTGCCTGTGTGTGCAGAGGAGGTGCTGAATATTTTACTGTATTGAAGGATTTGGTGGGTATTGAAAATTTGGGATTTTTTTATTATGCAGGCTTTTATGGTGAGTCGTGGCTTTTTTAATGGAACGGTGTCGTTTTATAGAACAACATTGTGTGTTGTTCTTTGAAGAACAGCAGACGAGCTGAAGCCCTCTTTCTCTTTGTGTGTATGGTTGAGGTAAGAGAATACTCAAACAACTAATTTGTTTTCATTTCATTCGCTAGTATTGCACTGTTTGAGAATATGCATGACGTGTAGCTATGCCCGAGTTAACACGATTGAGTCGGTTGCTGGTACCGAGTCAACGCGAGTTATCTATGTGAGCTTTGTTTTCGTTGATATAATTTTACTGGGTTGACTATTTGACTCAATGGTAATTTGCAAATGTTTTTTATATTAGAAAAGTTCATATCTAGACATTTATTATGGTTTTGGTAGGGTAGATGAAAGAATAAAATGACATAAAGTTGGAGTAAGATACTTTATATTCTTGAAGATACGTATTTAGTAGGATGGATATAAAATATGAAGGATTCAATAGTAAGATGAAAAAAGTATAATACATATTTTCCATATATGAGATTAATATATACATAATATATAATAGATAAATAAGGTATATGCATATATTAAATGATATAAACATAAATAACATACATTTCAATACACATAATTTTCATTCTTCCTAATTTTCTTCTTTATCAACCAATCAAACATGATGCTTTAACTAATCTTTCAACTTTTTACAATTTTTTCATAGTACTGAACAGAGCATTAGAGTTCTAAATGTTCACAGTTGAACCCTCCTAGAAAATGTTATGATGTTCTTATCATAATTGTAAACAAAATTTTCTATATCAAGGACAATATAGAAATATAGTTATTTTATGCGCCTGAAGGCACAGAGTAATAAAAAAAAATGGTCAACAATAAACATATTTGTATTTATATCAAAAATCAAATTACAAAACTAGAGAAGAGAGAAACGAATTTAAACATCGATTGTAATTAGGGAGAGTAGTGGTAGTGATGGTGGACGACATTAGGGGTGGTGGAAGACGGTGATGGGATGGTGGTGATGGCGGTGATGATGGTGGTGATGCTTGTTGTAGAAGAGGTGGTGGTAGGGGTGACAGTAGTGGTGGGGGTGGGGCGGTGGGGGTGATGGTGGTAGGGTGGCAGCAACAGTGATGATGGTAGCGGTGGGGCGATAGGAATGGTGGTAATGGTGGTGGGGCGACGGGTGTGGTAGTGGTGGTGGCATGATGACAGTGGTGGTGGTTGTTAAAGCTAAGGTTGTGGTGTGGTGGTGGCAGTGGTAATGGTAGGGTCGACCCAACAGTATAGAAAAAAAAAAAAAGCATGGGTTTTAAGTCCCATAATTTTAGGCACATTACTAGCCCACAAAAAAAATTAAATTCATTAAATTTTAAGCCTTAATAAAAACCCCAAAAAATTAAGTCCAAACAAAATTTTTATTGCAATAATTTGGGCCCATGATCCAATTTATAATATTAAAAATTTAGAAATTAAAAAAAAAAAAAAGATTTTTTAGGTGTGGGTACAATTTTTTAGACTTATTTGAGCAAAAGTATATAGATAAGTTGTTTACTCTATTAAGTACAATTTTTATAAAACTTTTTATGTTTAGGTACAAAATTCAAATAAATTAAAAACCTTTTACCTAAACACCTTCCCTTAAATTATGCATTCATCATTGGCAGTTATTTGAGGAAACAAATATGTAAATATTAACAATAGTAATGAGAGATAAAATAGGGACATTAATGATCAAAATCATTCTTCTTTGGCAACATGATTCTATAGCAATGTGATTTGATTAGAATGCCACAAATTATATGTAAATAAACACTAAATTTTCACACACACAAAAAAAAAAGAGAGAATTAGCCAAGATGTTTTATTAGATATTATGTATTGTTCGTTGTTAGGATGTAGAGAAAAATGAACTTTTTTGTTTTTTTTAATGGGTGTAACTATTTTTTAATGGATGTAACTATTTTTTTAATTGGTGTAATTATTTTTTAACGTGTATAACTATTTTTTTAAATGTGTGCGTAACTATTTTTTTAATGAGTATAACTACTTTTTAATGGGTATAACTATTTTTTTAATGTGTGTAACCAATTTTTAATTGATGTAACTAATTTTTTAATTGGTGTAACAATCACTATTTCATACAATTGTTGAGGCATGATAATGAAACGATACCACGATACTAAATAGTACAACTATTTAGTTTATGTAAATAACTGAATAACAAATTTGGTTAGTGTCATAATTTTGTATAACTGTTTAATTTATTAGAACGCATGAGTAACTGTTTTGTGAATTATAAGAAATTGTAACTAATTGATGTAACTGATTAGTATAATTGTGTTGTTGTAATGTTAATATAAATAGAGTAAGAGAAAATAGGGATAAAGAGAAACTGTTGGAGAAAATATGTCTCTATTTTATCTCTCATTGCTTGATTGTAGCCAAAATATATGGAAGGAATACAAAGGGTTTCAACCGATCAACTATTTACTGNTTAAAAATAATCAATTGATATAATTATGTCGTCTAAATAGAAAGATGCTAACTTTTTGCTTCATTTTTATTTTTTGCTTAACCATTTTCAAATTTAACAACTTGAAAAAAAAATTCATTAAACAACCATGACTATTTAAGAATTAAAACAATGACATCCGGTACAGATTAGGTTATAAACATGAATGAAAAAAGAACAAATAAGAAAATTAATTGGGAGAAAACATATATGTCAACATTTTGAAACAAAAAATTAGAACCTAACAAGCTATTGACGAAAGAATTGAGAGCAAAAATAAAAATTTATTTTAAAATATGGTGCCAGAAGATAGAAAAATTCATTGTTAAAAAATAAAGGAAAAAAAAATGCACGCTAGGGCTTGCTTACTATGAAGAAGAAGAAAAAGAAGAGGAGTAGGAGAGAGAGAACGACCAAAGAGACTGAGATTTTATTAGGGTGTGAATTTCTCTGCTAACAATACGACGTTGTTTTGCTAAAAAATTGGATTTTATAAAAAAATGACTGAATTGTGCGATACGAATTGAATTGTACGATACGAATTGAATTGTACGATTTAGATTCGATTAAACTCTAAAAATGATTCTCATATAAGATACAAATCGTTTTGTGTCTTGTATCGAATTGAATCGTATGAATCGAATTGAATCACAAATCATATGATTTTGATAACTATAACTGGTGTGTATTGATTGTGTGAACGACAATGGCATTGGTGGAAACGGGGGGGGGGNTTCTGCGCTGGAAAGAAGAAACATGATTACAAGTCCAAGGGTCTTTATGCTCATGCTTCAGGAGTAGGTAAAGATTCCTTCAACAGAAGTGCAAAACAGAAGGCAAACCATCTAGCACTAGCCACTAGCAATGTTCTTGGAGAATGATCTTTCAAACGAGGCAGAGCCACAACGGCAGCGTGTGGTTGCATCAGCTCCAGCAGAGCAAAACTCTGAGTACAATGATCTTTATGTGTGGCCTTGGACAGGGATTTTTGTCAATATAGTAAATGAGCCAAAGAATTGGGAAGCTGTGGGTAGCGAAGGATACTGGTTGGCTAAGTTTTCGAAATATAAGCCTTCAGGAATTGAGATTTTCTTGGATGATCAGGGGCTAGTTGCACAAGCTGTAGTCAAATTTGATAATGATTGGACTGGTTTCAAGAACGCTATGGAATTTGAAAAGTTTTTTGAAACTGAGCACCACAGTAAGAAGGAGTGGAATGTTGAGGAAAGTCATCATAATTCAAACATCTATGGCTGGATTGCTCGTGAGGATGACTATAATTCAGAAGGGCCAGTGGGAGATTATCTTCGTAGAAAAGGAGTTTTGAAAACAATCCCCAACCTTGTCCAGGAAGCAACACAGCACAAAAACTATATTGTGGCCAACCGAGCAAATGAAATTGACATGAAAACCGAAAATTTGGATGAGTTACAGATTAAGTACAATGAGAAAACTTTGTCTCTTAGTAGGATGCTTCGAGCGAAAGACATACTACACAGTGCTTTCTGCGAAGGTTCCCTCTCCCCCTTTTCCTCTCCCTCTTGTTCTGTGTGTGCCTATGCAACTATGTACGAAAAAATGTCTGCTACCAAATGTTCCTAATCCTCCTGCATTATCTGCATATTTATGCATTGACACATTACGGTAACATCTGAAGATTCCATAGGCATTATATAATTATTCCAACTGCAAGTTTTTTGGATTCTCAGCACCTGATGGGTGCACATCCAAAGTAGTCATGGTCGCATTTCCGTGTTTGAAAGTTGATCTGTTGTACTGTGGATGATTGATCAAAAAAAAAAACTATGGATGGAACCCTGAGCTTTCTGAGGCAACAGAAAAGTGAACCATATTTGCTGAAATTGCCGATTAGAAAACCTTCAGAGGATTGTTAGAGATATAACAACCTAGTTTATTAGAATTTAATTTGGTTTATCTTTTTATCTTTATTGTAAATTTTCATTAGCTATTTATATGGGCTCTACATTTAATTTGGATCCTTTTTTTACTAACAACTATTTCAAGTTTGCATCAGAGCCAAACTCAAATCCTAACCCTAATCCTAACCTCCACATAGACTCCACCATACTCACCATACCGACTGCCGGCAAACTGCCCAATGAAACCACCCAAGCCAGCACAAAACTAAACCACCGACTACTCTCGTCGACTACTCAGACCAGCAACCCACCGACAAAAACCACCCAGGCCAGCACCTAACCAAACCAGCAAACTCATTGACTACCTTGACCGACTACCCAGACCAACTGAACAGTGTCCATACCACCCAGTCGAACAATACCCACCGACAACAACACTCACCAGCGAAACCGACAGCAACAGCCGCTACATACCATCCAGTCGAAACCACCAATACACCCAACGAACAATACACCCATCCTCCACTCATAACGGCAAACTACCCAGCGAACAATACACCCATCCTCCACCGACAGCCATCCTTCACCCACAAACTGACCAACATACTCAAACCAGCCCNGTCGAAACCACCAATACACCCAACGAACAATACACTCATCCTTCACTCATAACGGCAAACTGCCCAGCGAACAATACACCCATCCTCCACCGACAGCCATCCTTCACCCACAAACTGACCAACATACTCAAACCAGCCCAATACTTTGCAACATCAAACCAACCCAACTAAACCGACCAGCATAAAACTCATAGTTCCCAACCAAACCCACTAGAATCAAACACACTGTTCAGCGACATAACCCATAACCCAAATCAACTACCCAACCAAACCGACAAAACCAATGTCTACATCAACTGCTTCTTGAACAACCCACTTTCCTTCAACTCCCCAGAGGATCCCATTCTGTATTTCCTTGTATGGAAAGGAGTACGAGAGAAACTCATCATTGCAGTTTTTAGGACTTTTTAAGACGGTTTGAATTCTCTTTTCTGTTGATCTACTCTTAATGCAGTAGATCACTTATTTATTTTTATTGAATTTTTGGACATTGTGACCTTGATTATTTGGGAGCCTTCTGTACCTTCTTTATCTGTCGCTACTGTTCGACTTGAGGTATATTATTCTCCTTTATTTTATTCCTCTATTTATTTTAGAGTTATTTTTTTGTCACGAGTGCCCTAGTATTGTTGATAATATGATTACTACTGAGGGAGTTGATACCCCTACTGTTGAGACCTCTATCGTTGAGACATCTGTTAGTACTTTCACCAGGTATAGGGGTCGACAGCGCTGGGTCCAGCGCCGTCAAGGTACCCCACATCAGCTTAGACAGGGAGATTCTCGTCAGTGTGATTATTGTAGCCAAGTAGGACATCTCAGGGCTGCTCGTTGGAAGCTTCATCCAGAGCTTAAGCCGCCTCCTCGCAATCATACTTAGGGGTGTTCAAATTTTTTATTAGCCGCGATTTTCTACCCTACCCTACCCTACTAAACGGTTAGCCGCAAAAATTGGGTTGGAATGCGGAAGAGATTTTGGTCTTCCGATTAAATCGGGTTGGAACGCAGAATACCCATTAATTTCTGCATTCCTACCTTACCCTACCCGAAAAAAATATATTTAACTTTTTTTATATTTTTTTTTAGTAATTATTAGAGTATTTGTGTGGTATAATTTATATTATAACATTATCGTTGTTATGGATGTTTGAGTTGTTAAAACATAGACTTGTTTTTTGTGTAAGTTATAAGATTTATAGTGAACTAATGATCTATTGAAGCAATTATGATTTTAATGTGTTTCATATAGTTTAAACTTAAAATAATTGTTATTGTATTTGTGTAACAATTATGATGGATTAATGTTCATGATTTCTTGTGTTTTATTATACTTGTTGTTGTTGTTGTTTTAGGTTTTAGTGTTATTAATTTATTGTGTTGTTAAATTTGCGTTTGTTATTTAATTGAATTGTTAAAATAATTCAAAAATTAATAGCTACAAAAGTGTTTACCCGATTTCCTACCCGACTTCCTACCCAATTAATCGGATAGGAAATCAGGTAAGAATACCACACCTGATCGGGTAGGGTAAGAAAAAATTCTTCCGTAAAGTATCAGGTAGGAAGGCGGAAGACTATATTTGCTACCCGTAGGGTAGGGTGAACACCCCTAGTCATACTACTGCCATTGCTGAGGCACCACCACCTACAGGCGTTGCTCCTGCTACTATTATTACTGCTCCTCTTTGACAGAGTGATATGGATGCTATCATTTTTCGATTGGATATACTTACGTCCGCCCTGACTTCTCAGGGTCCAAGTACTGCTACTGCCACCACTACAGGTATACCTCGTGTCTTTCATGCTTGCGCCAGTTCGTCTCCTCTTTGGATGTTAGACTCGGGTGTGAATAGTCATATGACAGGTAAGGCTCATCACTTCACCACTTTTGACGAGCAGTTCATACACAGATTCAACTAGCAGATGGGACACATGCCCCTATTGTTAGTAGGGGTACAGTCCGTCTCCCAGATGACTTTACATTACATTCAGTTTTTCATACGCCAAAATTGGCTATGAATCTATTATCCGTACATCAGTTAGCTAGAGATTTTCACTGTGCGGTCTTGTTTTTATCTGATTTGTGTTATTTGCAGGACCTGAGTACTAAGAGGATTATTATCAGGGGACACGAGAGAGAGATGAATTATATTATCTAGGCGATCCACCTCCAGTTTCACTAGTTCATCCACCTCCATCACCTGTGCCTACTTTATCTTTATCTATTCCTAGCTTGCATGCTAGTCTTTTGTCTAGTACTTGTCGTTATGATTTTTCATCACAAACTATTCAGTTGTGGCATAACCGTTTTAGGCATACAAATTTTAAATATTTATATATGTTATTTCCTACTTTGAGCAATGCTTGTGTTAGTGGTAAACTTGATTGTGTTATATGTTCCCTATCAAAACATGTTTGGACCAGTTATATTCCTCGCATGCACCAGTCACCCAAGCCATTTGACCTAATACACTCTGATATTTGAGGACCCTCTCTTGTTACTGCTCTGTCAGGTGCTCAATACTATGTGACATTTATAGATGACCACACCCGTTGTACTTAGATCTACCTTTTGCATAAGAAGTCTGATGTACTCCCTGTCATCACTCAATTTTTTCAGATGATTAAGACACAATTTGATGTCATTGTTCATGATCTTCGTTCGGATAATGCCAAAGAATATGTGTCCAATGCCTTAGTGTCTCACCTTTCTTCTCAGGGTGTCCTTCAGCAGCTCATTTGTCCATATACTCCTGAGCAAAATGGAGTTACTAAAAGGAAAAATAGAAGTCTAATAGAGATGGTACGTTGTATGCTTAGAGGTATAGGGTACCAAAATCTTATTGATATTTTGTTGTTTTGACTTCTACATTTCTATGTAATCGTATACCGAGTCGTGTTTTTTAGCATAGGGCTCTCTTACAAGTCTTATTCCCTGAGCGGACACTTTTTTTGGTCCCCTCTCGTGTTTTTGGTTGCACATATTTTGTTTAGGACCGATCTCCTACGCGTCATAAGCTTGATGATAAAGCGATTCGTTGTGTCTTTGTGGGCTATTGTCATCAATCTAAAGGGTATTGGTGTGATGATATTATCAAGCGTCATATGTATCACAATCGAGATGTTACCTTTCTTGANTGGTGTGATGATCTTATCAAGCGTCATATGTATCACAATCGAGATGTTACCTTTCTTGAGAACATTCCTTATTTTTCTTCCACTCCTGTGTCTACCCCTCCAATTGATGATACTCGCTTTGATTTTTCGTTACCACAGGAGCCAGAGTCATTGGTCACTATCACTACAGAGTCATCAGTCTCTCCTCCACCAAAGTCACTCGTCCCTGTCAGTAAAGAGTCACTAGCCTCTCTTCATTTGCATGTTTATATTCGTCTCCCTCCCTCTCATCCCCTTGCTGATGTCTCTTCTACCTCAGGTAATACTTCTTAGTTAGTTAAGCATATTGATGCACATGTTGTTAGTACTTATGAGATTACAGGTATTGAGCAAGTTACTTTTCCTAATGAGACATTGTCAGTGAAGGATGATGATTTAGGACGTCGTTATCCGCAGCGTGATCGCCATCCAATTGTCCGTTATGGTTAAATCGTCAGGACTTTATATCCGATCTCTACTTATATTTTTTATGGTAATCTTTCTCCTACATTTCGAGCTTATAATATGGCCTTATCAGATACACCGATTTCTCGCTATATTTCAGAGACTATGCAGAAGCCCCAATGGGTTCTTGCCATGCAGACGAAGATGGACGCTCTTCAGCATAATCATACGTGGGATCTTGTCTCTTTACCTTTAAGGGTGAAGCCTGTTGGCTGTCGTTGAGTTTACACCCTGAAGTTTCTTACGGATGGTACTATTAATCGTCACAAGGTTAGGCTTGTGGCAAAGGGCTTTACTCGGGTACCAGGTTGTGATTTTGGTGCAACCTTTGCCTCTGTGGCAAAATTGACTATTATTCGACTGATTATTTCTCTGACTACGGAGTACTCTTTGTCTCTTCATCAGTTGGATGTGAAGAATGCATTTTTTCACGGTGATCTGGACGAGATTATTTATATGAATGCACCACCAGACTTTCATGG